AAGTGTTTTGTCAGTTTACAAGCCAGAGAGTGAATATGCTGCAAGGAAACTGAGAGAACTCAAACAACAGACCATTGACACAGGTTTGTGATGTCAGTATTTTAGTGCTGTTGTTGACTGACACAGCTAAATACCAAGTTGTAACTATTGTCCTCCTCTTTAACTGGTTAGGATTGGTTCCTGTTATCACAAAATTAGTTGTTTTACCCTCAAGAGTGACCGTCATCTAATTTCTCCTTACGATATCGCCGCTGAGTCAAACATTACGGTGATGAAAATTTAAGAAATAATGATAAGAAGCCTAACGTTGAACAAATTCTCCTCATCATTGACATAGGAAATGTATGGCAAACAGTAAGGGGAATGTACATACTGAGGTTAGGATTTATTTGGTATTTATTCACCTCGCTCTGTAGTTGGTATAGAAAGCTTGCGCCACGTTTTTAACCAATTGGATGCGAGTTAGAGGCCGGTTACAGGCCGGCTAAATCAGATCTTCTCTTCATTGAGTTCCCTAAAGGGTCTTAATATTTTTGTCGTTTGTAATAAGCGACCGTAATTAAATGATAATGTAAGTGCGATTATCCCGAAAAAAATACCGAGCGTACTAAATAAATATTCCATGAATGCAATATGGATATGAGATGGCAGAAAGTCAACTTGCAATTGGTCCAGTGTATCTGTGAAATACTTTTTCATCCAAAAATGCAAATGAAAATATCGCAAACGATGAAGCAGAGAAAATATAGCAAAAAATTTGATCGTGTAGGATGACTGTAATGGCGAGGGAAGTCCTGAGAGGGACTCTTTTCGGTGATGATGACAGACGTTTCGCCAACATAAGCGGGGAATTTACATACTTATACAATGTTCCAGATTTATAGTAAGGTGGATACAAAAACAAGATCAAGGTAGGTTTAGAAGACGATCTTCATAGCTCATGTGTTACTATCACATACTACAGTCAGCTCAAGCTTATCCTAAAGAATAAAGAGGATGCACCTGCATCGGTGGCGGGTATTACAAGATAATTAGGTATATCTCCTAGGTTTATAATGTAAATTGGCCACTGTTAAGACTCGAGATTTAAAATCTTAGCCCTTCACCAGGCTGATGAAGGGCTAACGCTCGAAACGCCAACCTTGAAAAATTCTCGAGCAGAATACGTGGACATCATCAATGATTCATAACCGATGAAGCGGCAAATTTGAACGCGACCTCGCTTTAATGAGCCCTAAATTATTCCACTTAACTCATTTTTCTGAGTTTAAGAAGAGCTGACTTCCATATCATGCTGTATCCACATTTTGCAACTGAAATGAAGGACATTTAAGAAGTAGAAGAATTGTCCTTTTTCACTTGAAACTGCACAAAATTCGCTAACTTTTTGTATGAAAGTCATTTCAAGATCGATTTTCTTAAAACCCTAACTACCGACTTAAAATCAAAGCACGTCAAATAGTTGATACACCTTCCATCTGACAGAATCCGTCTTAATTTTGAAAATTGGTCAACAAGAACTACTATCCTTTTGATTTTGAGATCGTTAGTCAAAGATGCGTTCCAAAAATGGCACGTTTCGAGCGAGCGAACTATTGTCTTGAGCCCAGACATGAATAACGATACACCTATCAATTTAAACAATGCCCATCGTGGAATCAATAGCACTTTGGCAATTTCTTCACACTTTTTACGATTTTTAAAATCTTTCGGTCTGTGAGCTGTTAAACCTTACCCTTACCGACCGTATCAAAAATATTAGTTATGCCGGGAGCACTACATAGCATAGCCTACACAGAGAGCGAAATTCTTTCCAAACCGCACTTCAAATTTGAGTTCGAACACCCTCATTTTATTTGATATATTTTCTGTACTGGCTTTATCGCGACTTATCTTTTAGGTGATAGGAGACAAAAAATGGGGACGAACTTCGTTGCTTATAAACCGAGATCCAAGCAGTATCAAACAGTTAAAAGAAATCGCCAAATACTTGGGAGTGCCAATTAAATTCATACACATCGTTGGGAACCCATTTGATAACATCGCTACCATGGTACTTCGCGGTGCAGGCGAGTGTGATAATGTTAGGGAAGAAGGAGCAAAAGTAAATTGATAAATAATATTTGAAAAGTTGTCAGATAACATTCTCATTATTAGTAACATCATTATCATTATTATATATACACAGGAGCCCATTACTTCTGATATACATCAGAATTTTACGAGAAATATGATTAGTTGAGAGCATTTAAATGATATACAATAGCGTGTGAAGTGAGCATGATAACCCAATATCGGCAACGGATATTGTAGTTATCATTTGGAGTTGAAAATCTTCCTAGTTCCCAAGCCACTCGACTGTGTAGGGTTCTAAAACTTTTGGAAATTCAGAGAGAAGTGTCTTCTGCCCATTGTTTAAAAAATGCATAATATGACGATTAGTAATATGGATTTTCGTATGATGTCATGAATTATCAAACCTCGTGTCTGTGTTTCCTGCCACTGCCTTGGGCAGATAACTCAAATCTTCTCATATCATCCTCAACCTCATCCAATAATTGATCATTATCATCATCATCATCGTCGTCATTAGTGTCACTGCCGCTGTCGGTATCGCTGTCGCAATCATTTTAATTATAATTTTCATTGAAACTATTATTACCGATTAGATAATGATCATCAACGTAATTGTCAACATTAAAAGGAGTCGTCAACATTTTCGTTATCGTTATAACAATCATAATCAATGTCGTTATCGTTATCATTTTTTTTCTATTTGTCACTAAAAGATGAACAGATCAGTGATTTTGGAGGATTGGATCGAGCTCTAATTCAACCTTACAAAGGCTAGCCAGCGCGTCAGAGAAAGGTTTGGGGATGCAGTTATCGATATTCCAGGACATGAAACAATACTCAGACCGAAAGAAACACTACAAAAATTATTTGACCATTTAGGTGTGACATGTATGGAGGACTACGTAGAAAAATGCAGTAAGATCTTGTATGGAGCTCCTTCTGTCACAAGAAATAAAATTGTATGGACTGACGAACAAAGGGGGGAAGGAAGGTGAATAAAAACATTTCGTATTTGAAGTAGTTACTTATAAGCTGGGTAGTAGACTAAATATTTGGAAATAAGCTTATTACTTAAAAATGTAAAACAAAATAGACAAATTTGGAGGCTATTTTTTGGGCTGCGACGCAAGATGGAGAGGGCAGACTCGAAGATAGCCTAATAAGCGCGAAAGCTCATAAACTACGCAAGTGGAATATTCATCACCTTCTCCTAGAAAGAAAAAAAGCCCCATCTGTTTATATCATCTACTAGATGAGGATGATATGATCTTCATGATAAAAAACTGCGTCCCTGAAGAAATCTTTAAAATATTTTATGAGAATTTCTTTTTATATCGAGTTCCATTTACCTGCGGGATGTCCCCTCCTTCTTTCGTATGACCCCAGCCTGTGACGAAACATTGGGTCCCAACGCCAAAGTCAAACTTAGGGAAGCACACAGGCCTCACGCGTCTATTGTAAGTGAGAGGAGACTGGAGCTTAATAAGTAATAATTCTTAGTCCTCGTTTTGATGCGGAACGTAGCTCGGATGCTTGATGATTTTTTCGATTGGAATGTTTTGGTCATATCCCTCTTTTCCGTTAAGATCATGGTCCCCTGTTCAGAATCAACGGAAACGGTCGAGAATTTTTTGCGAAATCTTTGTACTCCGAATCGATGAATGTTACTCTGTAACATCTCGTCCTTACAAACTAAAAACGAACCAATGATAATGATTAATATTACAGAAAAAGACTGTTAGATCTCATTAAATGGGTACTGGAAAAGATATACATGTTTTTTAACTTCTGCTGCCAGAAACCTAAACTGAATACACAGGCATGCCATACGTATACGATGTGTGAACATGTTTCTAGTTCACGCTTGCGCAGACGGACTTAAGCTGGATTTCCACTCTCGCGTTTTTGTCTACCCATGTAAACTGTTGAGAAATTGTTGTTATATTTCCACTTGCACGTTTTTCAAGGTTTTCACGTGCATGCCGCAATCGCGCGAGTGCAGAGAAAGGTGAACAGCCTTCCACTTTGACGCGTGAGCCCGCATTTTTTGCACGTAAATTGATTTTATTTTTACGCACGCTTTCTCTACGCTCGTTTTATGTACGCAAAAAACTACGCAGCACTGGAATCTACCTTTGGATGCATGAAAACTCGTACAGGAACGTGAACTCTTTTTTAACTGACAGGTTTTGACATACCATTCGAAAACTAACAAAAATAAACTCACCTCCTCTTTTTTCTCTCAATTTGAATTCCTTTAATAGCATCAAGTCACCTTTGTTAACATCTAAATGACATTCAAAATGAAAATGGCACATCCATGAGAAATTCAAACTTGAGATATGCTTTTGTTTGTTTCTTAAATTAAAAATGCATAGATTTATCAATAAACCTGCTGCATCTTGATACCGTATTTACCTGTGTATAATGCACACT